AAATAATAATAATATACGAAATATAAAAATAATACAAAATACAGAACAAAAAAATTAAAAAATACCAAACAAAAAAAAATAGAAGATAAAAAAAAAAAATTAAGGAAGGCAGTGGTGCCGTCCCCAGTGCCACTGCCATCAGACCCTACCCTCCACCAGACAAGACAAAAATGAATAAAAGAGGCATGGGGCTCGTGTTTACATTCCGTGATCGAGCCCCATACCTTTCCCTTCAAAATACGTATGGCTGGAACTCTATTTAACGAAGCCAAAACAGAAAAAGAAAGAGCTCTCTCTCGAATCCCTTCTCTCGAAACCCCCTTTTTCTGAAACCTCTCCCTAAAAACTCCTACCTATCAAAAACACTCCCAAAAACACTACACCAAAATACCCAAAACAGAAATGCAAAAAAAAAAAAAAAAACGCAAAAACAGAAACAAAAAAAAAAAAAAAAACACAGTCCTCGTCGTAGGCGAGGAACCTCAGCGCCAAGCTCCTGCAAAAGCAAAGAAATCATCAGTTTCGCCAAAAAAAAAGAGAAGGAAAAGAATCCGAAAGCTTCAAGCCCCGATCTACGTCGATCGGGGCTGTTTCTGATAAAACGGATGCCAGATCTGGAAAGATCTCGTTGAAAGGAGTTTCTGAAAGCATTTTGGCATTTTTCGATTACCGGCGACAACCGCCGGCGGTGACCCAGGTGGCGGCCGGTACGGTGGTCTGACGATCGGACGGCGGTTGGCCAGACCTCTTCTCAGAGCACTCTCTCTCTCTCCCTCTCTCCTTTTTTTTTGAAACAAAAACCAAATGAGCCAAAAAAAAATCTTCAGATATATATAGTAAAGCAAAAACTCAAAACGACGTTGTTTAGGGAAAGACCCAAAACGATGCCGTTTTAACCAAAGAAGGATCCGCGCGTGAACCAGATCCGACCCGAGATCCAAACGAACCGACCCGCCAACCCGCTTCAGCCAACCTTGAACCGGTCCAGAAGAACCGCCAGTGAACCGGTCTGAACCGGTACGAACCACTGGACCGCTCGAACGCTGACGAAATCGCAGAACCGGTCAGACCGGTCCAGACCAGTAATCGGACCGTTGACCGGTCCGGTTCAGGTAAAAAAAAAATTTTTTTTTTCTAATTTTTTTATATATTATTATTTTTGTTATTCTAAATATATTTTTTATATTTATGCATGATAAATTTATAAATTTGTTAGAATAAATATTTAATTATTTTAATAATAATAAAATTGAAAACGAATAATAATTAAAATATATTAAAATGCTCAAAAAAAATAATTTTTATTATTTTCCCTGCCTAGATGTTGGAGGGAATAAAAATATTTTTCTAAAGAAATAATTCCGCCTAGATGTTGGGGAATTATTGTTAATAAATTTTCATAAAAAAATAAACATAAGACATTTTTAATTAATTTTTAAAAATTATAAAAAATTGAACATACTCTGAAAGTCTGCCTAGATGATGGAGATTTTTAGAGATGTTCGCGTTCTACTTAAACCTTAAATACTAATTTTTAATTTTCAAAATCCCTTAAATCCAAACTCCCCAAAATCCAAAATCCATGAAATCCAAAGTCCTAAAAATCTTAAGGACACGTGTGAAAATTCTATTTGAAGCAATTTGTTCCTGAATGCCGCCTAGATGATGGGGTATTTAGGAAATTTTACTTCATTAAGTCTTTTCACAGGATTTTTTAATTTACATTAATAATAAGATTAATAAATAAAAAGTATAATAGTAAATTGAGATCTTAAATATAAACAGTCGCACCTAAGCTCTGCCTAGATGTTGGAGAGTTAGGGTGGTCTCATTATACTTAAGAATCCAATTTTTAAATTACATTTTATTTTACATAACATTCATTGACATACACATATTAGCATGTTATTATTAGTATTTATTTGTACTATTATGTCTTTAATTTTTATTTGTACTACTTTTAAAAAATAAATAAATAATAAAATATGATATTACAAAATAGAATAAAAATAACATTCCAAAAGAAATAATTCTTAGTACTCTGCCTAGATGTTGGAGAGTCATCAATAATTTTCTGTAAAGAGTGTTATTTCATTTTAAGAATTATTGTGTTAAATCTTAAGCGAAAAGAGTTATTTTAAATTCTGCCTAGACGTTAGAGAATTTTAAGATAATTCTTTAACTTAAAGATTTTCTCAATATCCCTAAATAAAAATTTTAGCAAAAATATTTTTAAATGAAGGGAATTAATGTTAAATTTCAAATTAAAACCATTTTTATCCAACGTCGAAAATAGCGCATAATTAAATGGTACCAATTTATGGGCGTTGTGGGGGTGCTAATCCTTCCTCACGCGTAACCGACTCCCGGACCCAACCTGATTTTTCGCAGACCGAAATTTATCTTTTTGATAAACTTTAAACTCGTTTTTATAGTTTTATTAAAAGATAAACTTTTGGGTGGCCAATCACACCATAACAAAGATTGGTGGCGACTCCTCTTTTTATTTATTTTTCCCAATTTTAAAACCTCATTTTTACGTCTGGCGGTCTCAAAACTGTTACGACATATATATATATATATATATATATATATGACTTGATTGATAAAGCTTATCAAATATGAAAATCTCATTCAATCTCTCAAATGGAATTCTATTCAATCTAATTTTGTAATTTGATAAAAAAAAAAGTTAATAATAAGAATTTGTTGAATCCAAATATAAAATATTCAATTTTAAATTGATTTGATTTACCAGCAACAAGAAAGTTCTTTTATGCATTTTTTGATTTGGAAAACTAGACCTCGTCATTGGCATGGATTCTTGTCATCTAGGTTGAGTCTTCTTGAGCTCATAGCTTTTGGGCTTTCTTTGTTCTATTATTCCTTTTATACTTCTACCTTTAAGATCATGGCTAAGAGAATTCTACCTTTGGTTAACGTGATTAATAATGTAGTTTAGGATAATCAAGTTATTATTTTTTTGCATTCTTAAGTTTTGTCGAGTTTCCCCATAAATGTTGATAATAAACTATGAAGTTGTTATATAATTATGCTAGTAAAGTTATGTGGTAAAACACTTTAATTTCTTGTAGACAAGTATATTATTAGATTCATTCATTCCTTCATTCAAGTTCATAAATATGTTGATCTATCAAGCTATTTTTGGACACCCTGCTAGAAAGTATGTAAAGATAAGGGAATGATGTGTCATATTTTGTGAATGAAGATATTAGAATGCATCAGATGCTGTCGAGTATTGTTGATCAGTATCATCAATGTCCAACTTTGAGTAAGAAACATAGTTTACTAAAGTCTATTGGTTTAAGTGATAAGGAATTCAGTTTTTCTTAAGTAAAATATTGGTTTCGAATCTTATGAATGAAAAAAATAAATTTAAAGGAGTTTGTTTCTTTTATGAGATTCGATTCGGTTCGATTTCGATTTAATCAAAGCCTAAAATAACTACTTCAAACAAAAAAAAAAACATAGTATATATGTAATAATTAAATGATACTAATGGTGGAATCTTCAACCTGTAAATAGTGATAGGAAATTGATTCTACATTATCTCCGTAGTGGCAACTTTGGCAACCTTCATATTTTGAGCATAAATATAAGGAACAATAAACTTCAGATTATAAGAAATATGTATATCTTTCATTTTATTCATACAACATTTGGGATTTATGTTAAGCCAAATTGATACATCCGTATTTACCCATTGTAACGATTAAATTTGATTTTTTTTTTTTGCAAAATTGATGCTGTTATTCCTTGATAATTAACCTAGCTGCCCAAGAATTTATGTTTTTCATATATGTAATATTGGGAGGAAAGAAAGTCACAAAGTTTATTATATAATTAGCATTTAATTATAAAGATTAAATATTATATATAATTGTTTTGTTAATTAGTCTTTAATTATAAAGATTAAATATATGCATCAAATTTGTTTTATGTATAAGGATAATTTTGAAAATTTTCACTACATTTCTTGTAAAATGTTAGTTTACTAAACATTGTAATATTACATTCTCTGTATTTTTAAGCAGCACGTTGCCATCTCAATATTTTAATTCCTTGTAATTACCTTTTTTGATTCACCCTATATTTAGAGGTGATCTTTCATCGTTGCTTGCCTTATGTTTATGGATGATAACAATTTAAATCGGATCAAATTTGATTTAATTTTTTAAATAATGTAAAATATTATGAATTTTTAAAATAAGATCGAAATATAAATCAATCCTTTTGAAATTGATCTTATTCAAATTGAATTTTATTAATTTAATTCATTGACTTTTTAAATGTAAAAATTTTTAATATATTATTTTAATTTAATTTTTAATATATTTAAATAGATTTGATGTAAAATAATAATTTTATTTTATAAAAATTATATAAAAACAAATAAAAATATATAATTTAGTTTGATTCAATTTTTTTACTTTTTGATAGACCTAACAATTCGTGTATTCATATTTTGTAAAATATTAAAATTTATATATTCGTATCATATTTTATATAAAAATTATTATTACAATTCATATCGATGTAAAAATATACAATATAATTTTTTATTTTGTTAAATTCATATATAATTATTGTTATAATTTTAAACTGTTTACTTTTATATTTTATTTTTATATCTTATTTATATTACGTCATCGTATCGTATTTTAAATTGACAAGTTTATTTCTCAATTTAATATTTGATTTAAACTAAATATATATATTTAATATCTAAATTTAATTCGAAATAAACTAAAAAACCAATCCAAATATTATAATTTTAAATTAATTTTGAGTTTTTTTAATTTTTTTCACCCTTACCCTATTTGCATTTCCTTAATTTTATTTGATCGGTTGATTAATCATAATAATAAAAAGTTCGATAGGCTAAATGTATATTTAAGCGAAGTTTGAGGGCATTTATAATGCATAATCGCAAAAATAAATAAAGTAGTAAAGGAGACCAAATCCCAACCGTTTGAAAAAAAATGTAGAAGAGCCGTCAGATTTAGGGCATCCTAGTCATTCCAAAAGCTTTAGCTTGCCATCTTCACTGCAAACAAACAACCCTTCCAGTCTCCGCCTCCATCCTGAGAGAGAGAATCATATAACAGGGGAAAACAAGATGGTTCAACGGCTGACATACCGGACGCGCCATAGCTACGCCACCAAGTCCAACCAGCACCGGGTCGTTAAAACTCCTGGTAAATAGATACTACTTCAATATTTGATTTATATGGCGATATATGCATTCTTTTTTATATAAAAAAAGCACTTTACATATTTTTCTGGGTATTGGTTGAAATTTGAAGGTGGGAAACTTGTCTACCAGACGACTAAGAAGAGATCTAGCGGACCCAAATGTCCTGTTACTGGCAAAAGAATCCAAGGGGTATTTTATTTTATTTACTAAATATTTTCATTTTCTTTCAAAATAACCAATTAATTTGAAGCTTATGAGCTCTACAATTTTATCAAGGATGCTTTCAGACATATAATGAGGTTTGAGTAGATGGGGTTTGTAGATTTTGAAGGAATGAGCTTAGAATGTTGATATTATACTATGCTGATCTGCTGTTATTTGCATTAAAAGTAGGCATTTTTCTAACATTAAGTTAGTTAAATTTAGTGCGGGAAACAGTTGGGTCAGCTCTTTGTAGTTTCTTTCAGTTATATAGATTGTCCTAACTCAATACTGTTCCAAGGTCTTATTTGTGAACTGAAGTTTTTTTGGTTCCAAGTTACTTTCATACTGGAAGGATATACTGCATTACTGCTCCTATTTTGTTTTTTGGTTGGCACTTTGCCCCTTTAAATTTAGTGTGTTTCCCCACAATGGGACTTTATTTTTGAATTTAACTTCTGTTGTTTAGTTTTAATGTTCGCCTTCGCCTTTGCTTTCTTGCTGTCTTCTTTCTTGGGGACAAGCCAAACTTAGGTTTTGCTTGGTATGAATAAAGATAGAAAACTTGTTAATCTAATGGTTACGTTACGATGTAGGAAAGTAATTATGAATTTTAACAGATTAACAAGTTTTCCATTTTTATCTTTTTCCATCATCTTTACCAAGCAAAACCTTAATGTTTTTATTATTTTCAGAGAGCCCAAATCATTTTGGTCTCCGTTTAACTTAATTATTATTGCACATAATATGTGCTGATTATGCTAGTTGGCTGACTATTTCATGCAGTAATAAATCTTCCTGTTGTATCCAATATTGCTCTCTCTACAGATTCCTCACTTGAGACCTGCTGAATACAAGAGGTCTAGGCTACCTCGGAATAGGAGGACTGTGAACCGTGCTTATGGTGGTGTGTTATCTAGTGTTGCAGTCAGGGAAAGGTGTGCTGACATATTTTTGTCAAATTTATTAATTTTGATAACCCATTAACAGGGAAGTAATTTTTTTTCTTATTAATACAATGACTGAAACTCCTCAAATATGAATTGCTTGACACTGTTCTTTTCTTTTGTGCCGATGAATAACTCTTGGGAATTTCAATGTTTATATAGGATCATTCGGGCCTTTTTGGTTGAAGAGCAGAAGATTGTGAAGAAGGTTTTGAAGATTCAGAAGGCCAAGGAAAAGCAAACATCAAAGAGCTAGATGAGATGACAAAAGCTTTACTTTCAATTTTACTTTGTTTCAATTAAATTTTGACTTTGAAGAGATGATGAATTGTGCACATTATTAGTATGAGGTATTTCTTTATACAGTAATGAGCATTTAGTTTTGGTTGGAATCTTTAGCCTCTAGTCTCTGGGATCCGCTCCAACTCGTGTCATACATTCAACCTCAACCAAGATAAGTGATTTGCATGTCATAAAAATTAGTAATTTCTCTGATTGCTGGTAATTGACTAAATCCTTGGAGGATGGGTTTCTGTTTCCTAATTTTCTAGAGTTTAGGTTCAGCAGTATAAACGAGTTTAAGTAACTTGTGAGCTGGCTCAATCTCGGTTTGTTCGTTGTTGGGTCGAGCTTGAGTTACTTAGTGAGTCGAGTTTAGTTTGAGTAGTTTAATATATAATTCGAGAAGTTTACGAGTTTAATTGAAATTTTATTTTTTAAATATATTTAGTTATATAAGTAAATGATAAAAATATAATGATTCATGTCAATATTTATAATTTTATTGAATCTAATGAGTCTATCCCTATGTCTTTCTTTTGGTTGAAAAAAACAAGTAAAGATAATATATTGAGCTGTTAATTCATAAGCATTAAGCACAATTGCAAAACGCAGTAGAGAGTTTCCCGAAACAGGATTGACTGTCGATTAACAATATACAGTAATATGGACCACGGTGGCTGTGGTAATATAGAACATGCCAACAGGCTTTATTCCTGGTGTAAGCAAAGCTTTAAACAAGAACATGGCTAGAGGCGTGCTAAGTGGAAGATTTGAGGGCATTTTTTCTAACAAATTGAAGAAGTGCCAAAAGTGTCTCATGAGGAGGGACTAGCTCTTCCATTACAGGCACCTGGTTCAAATTTGTCATCTATGAGTATATAAACGGATGCCTTTCCGGATCTAAAATCTTCACACCAGCAATTTCCTCTAGAGCTTTGTAGGGACTAAATGTTGCACTAACTAAGATGTCCAGGAGCCCTATGTTCTCGTTTTGGATTCCTCGAGTGCTCTCAGGGAAAAATTCTTTCATCTTTTCTTCAAATACATCCATTTGTTGAAGCAATTCGTTGGAATGTTTCTGTTGTGCTTCGCCATCGTTTGTGATAATCCGACCAATGGCCTCAAAGAGCTGCATGCATAAAAAACATTGGTGCCAATCTCACGTCACCGACAGTTTGACCACAGGGCAAAAAAGTAGCATATTAATATATTATCAGGTGGTATAAAAGTTGAAACATCATTCTTTTTACCTGCTGCTGGATAAAACTTGCCCAGAATCGAACTTGAGCTCTCTGATAGGGATCGTCAGGGAGGAGCCGAGGAGCAACTTTCCGGGTTTCATCAATATATTCCAGGATGACAGAGGACTCAGCTATAGGGTTTCCATTGTGGACAAGTACTGGGACCTTCTTGTGAACTGGATTACATCGGAGGAGCAGTTGGCTCTTGTTGTTCAAGTCTTCTTCTATAAACTCATAGGGAATTCCCTTAGCTCTCAAGGCCACTTCCACTCCCTTAACATATGTACTAGACCACATCCCATGCAATTTCACTTCCTTTTCTTCCTCCATGTCTGTGTCTCCGCTCTTTCTTTTTTGTTGCTATTGCTTGGGTTTTGTATAATTGTATTTGTGGAGGATCCTTTAATAAATATGAACTTCGACTTGGGATTTAGGCATCTAGCTAGAATGTCCACTTTCTTTATGTTATTTTTTCTGACTTCAAGCCCAAGGCTATTGACCGGTCCAATGTGTTGGTTCGCACGAAGCCATGGATTTTTATAGCCCTATAGCAGTCATCTTAAAACCATTAGCATTAGCCATTATTTCAGAACTTGAAGTCAAAGTGAAATCAGGGGACTTTGTACAAGCACGTTTCCACTTCTTCCTGTAACTTTCGCTTGGTAGTCAACTGAGGCCTTTTCTTGTCTCTGAATATGTCAATAGAATAACCAACTGCCTGTGTCTCCATTAGAGGAGTAGATAATTTTTTTTGTCAGAATTGAAACTCAATGTTTCTGGCTAAAATTAGCCTGGAAAAATGAAAGTTGATGTATGTTCTTAGGAAACTGCCCCTCTTGTCAAAATCAATGCAAAAAACTCCACTTTTAGCTTCTTAACGAAATTTATTAATGAAACCAAGATTTTTAGTACACTTGTACATGGTCAAGGAGTCCCAGATTCTGACTATCAATGGAGGGATTTTCGTCGGGAAAAGAACTCTCTCATTCCCTCTTCTAGCACCTCTAATTTCTCTAACCCTTCCTTGATGGCTTTACCTTGTGCTTGTCCATCAGTTTTAATCATTATCTGAAATAACTGCATTCAAGAATATTTGCAAAATTCCTTGTATTAGCTTCTTTTTTATAGCATCATATTAGTATTATCTTCTATTATGTGTTCAATATACTTCAGTAGTGGGTGAAGTATAGTCCATGGATCCTTAGGAAGCAGTTGAGGTTTATTCTTCCAGGTTTCTTCAATATATTCCAGGATGATGAGAGATTCAGCAATTGGCTTTCCATTATTAGCAAGAAGAGGAACCTTCTTGTATACAGGGTTTTACCGGATGATCTGTGGGCTTTTGTTCTTCAACTCTTCTTCCACTTACTCAAAGGGTACTCCTCTAAGCCAGAGGACCAATTCCACTAACTTAGAGAAATGGCTACCTCACATCCCATGTAGTATCACCTTGTTTTCTTCTTCTATCTCTCTTTCTTTCAACAACTTGGCCTAATTATATGAACGAAGGGGCCTAATTATCACTTTTTAACAGAATCAGGCTACATAGAGAGTTTAAACTTAATGCAGGAATGCATTGCAGTTAATCAAAGCAAAGCTGCTGATAGAAACAAAGGTGACGAAGTCAATGATATTAACTCAAATTGATCTTCTGTTGTAAATCAAATAGATTGTTTACATTTGTTATACATCAGTAGCCACGTCATTAGTATCTCAGCTGCCAGTTCATTAGCTGTTAGCATGAGCCATAAATAGAGGAGAGATTATAGGGAAATTTAAATTATATATTTAATATTTGATTTACCATTATTTTAGGTTAGATTTGTGTAATTGTTATAGTTTTTTAGAATAACTTTTCTGTAAATTGTATATAAGGTTTCATTTGTATATCAAATATATTGAAGAGTGATATCTTTTCTACATGGCATCAGAGCGTAGATTCTAGGACTCTGTGAAACCATTAAGAGCAATGGAAGAACCTTCTTCTTTGATAAAAAGTTCTCAAGAAGAGAACTCAATCCTTGCGGACTTGACCTTTAAAATATCATAGATGTTGAATCAAACACCAACTCCATTGGGTCATGAACTTGGTGGAGCAACGATTGGTATTAAACTGACGATACCAATTACGGCATTTGGTCCCAGGTTGTCGAGATGTACATCTCCGACAAAGACAAACTCGGATATATAAATAAGGATCTTTCATAACCTCAAGAGAATGATTCCACTTTCAGGAAATGGAAAGCTGAAAATGTAGTGGTGAAAAGCTGGTTGATCAATTTCATTGATCCAAAATTGATCGGTAACTATATCAGATTTCCAATGGCTAAAGCTGTGTGGGACGCAGTTGCTACGGCATATTTTGATGGCACTGACACCTCATAAGTTTGTGATTTAAAAAAAAAAAGGTGATGAGGCTCAAACAAGGCGGAGGATCTATCGAAACATACTATAACAATCTTCAAGGCCTTTGGAGGGAAATTGATTTTCGTCGCCCAAATCCGATTAAATGTGAAACTGACATACAAAAGCATAACTCTATTATATAGGCAGATAAAGTTTATACTTTCCTGGATGGACTGGATGATTGACTTGACAAAATTCGAGGAGAAGTACTTCAAATTCAACCATTTCCGATAGTAGAGTAGGCTTATGCACTTGTCCACAGAGAAGATCTATGACAAACAGAGAAGTTAACAAAAGGAGATAGAGATACCACATCCAATGTAGTTATGCTGTTGAAAGGTGGACAAAAATCACAACACTAGCTCTCATCATAATGGAAAGTCTAATACACCAACAAAATCAAAGTCACGAAGAGAATGAGGAGGTTGCACACATTATGGAAATATGAAACACACCAAAGACACATGTTTTAAACTACATGGATATCCAGAGTGGTGGCATGAACTCAAGGCAAAGAAGAAACGTGAAGTTGGTGTAAGAGAAAATAATGGCCAAGCTACATTCATGAACACTGAATCTTAACTATCCATTGTACCGGAAGGGAACTTTTCTTCACAAGGGGACATCTCTGCTGCTGTTGCAAACAAATTTGTAGCTTTAAATGACTCAGGTAATTATGATTGGACTAATGATTTAGGGGTAACTTATCACATGACATTCAGTCCACAAGACTTTGTTAAAACTACTCAACCAAAATGGACATGTGTTGCTAATGCTAACAAAGTGGCATACCCAGTTACAGAGGTTGGAAAAGTGGCACTTTCATCTTCTTTTACTCTACCAAATACTCTATTGGTCCCATCCCTTTCGAATAAGTTACTATCTATAGGCTAAGTTACTGAAGATTTAAATTGTTGTGTCCTAATGTATCCGAGTTTCTATCAATTTCAGGATATTCTTAACAAGTAAATCGTTAGTCGTGGTTAGAGGTGTAATTAATTGAGTTCAAGCCGTTATAATATTAAGATGGAACTCAAACTTGAACTTAAACTTGAGCTTGACTCGAAATTTGGTTCAAATTCGATCGAGTTTTAATTTTTTAATTTGAACTTGACTCGAGATAGAAATCGAATTACTTGAGCTCGTTCGATTAGATTTTATTAATATGTAAAAATAAACTTAATTTTTACATTTAACAAAAGCTTAATTATTTATGCTTGAACTCAAACTTGAGTTTGATATATTTTATTAATTAAAATAACTAAAATGTATTAAAATATAAAAGCTTGATTAAGTTCACGAACTATTTGAACCAAATATAAAAAATGTTCGAATGTAATTCAATCGATAAGTCGAGCTACTCGAACTCGAGCTCAAGCTTAACTCAATAATACTTGAGCTGAATTCGAGTATTATTCGAATTAAATTCAAATAGCTTGC